GACATCCCTGAGAGCATAGATGCTCCTCTGCGCTGGCTAGATGACAGGTACTTCCCAGAAATTACTCTCCTTGATGTTACTCGTGATTCAGAGTCCTCACCAGGAGTGGAAATATCCTCCATGGAGGTCACACAGGATGTGTCCTCGGTGGATGGTTTGCAAAGCGGTGTGCCTTCCTCAGAGCTCAGTGGACAGATTGTGGCAGAGCCTGGCACATTGGACACGATCGAAAGTGAAGATTTGTCAAGTACTCTAGATGGCAATGCCACCCACACCATAAGCTCCTTTGGTGAACAATTTGCTGAGAAGTCTGTGGGTGAAAACGTACCAAAGGTTCCCTTGGAAGTAACCCGGGATATTTCTACGGGCAGTGTTTTGGAAGATAGTCAGCCTTCAACATCAGCTGAGGACACACTCGGTACCCACCCTGCTAATGTTACCCATGACATTACCTCCTCTAGTGACATGTCTGTTCAGTGTGCTGCATCACAGTTCTCTACTTCTGACATGCAGTGTAGCACTAATTCAAAGAATGTCACCTCTGAGCTTCCCGATGAACCTGTTGTGACCACTAACACCGTGGAAGTTAACAATGAAGAGCTACTCAGCAGCCATGATGCGGAGTTGACCAGCAAGGTGCCAGAACCAAGCTCAAAACCAGCTGGGTCTGTAAATGGCACATTCACCATTGCCGAGCAGTCCAATCTGAGCACCTCTACCAATTTAAACACTACCCCTCAAATACCGTGCCCTCAGAATAAGACACTGGATCTTGCCCCATCTAATGTAAACAGCCCCAAAGTGGAGAACGACGCTAGAGATCCGGCTTGCTCAGTCTCTAATAACGCCACTGAAGCTTCCCCTGTTATCAGTGGTGGTTCATGTGATGTGCAGAACGTCACGTTTGATAAGCATTCTCTTCAAAAATCCAGTGGCAGTTCTGTTTTAGGGCAAGCTGGTGCTGCAACCTTTTGCCTTCAGAACAACACTTTTGATACTAAATCTCCTTCCAAACAGAACGGCACAATAACTGTGTCAGAAACGAGCTCAAGCGACAGTCACCAGAACACTTCGGACAAGCCCTCTCCTGCTAAAGTCTGTAATGCAACAAGTACCCCCAAAGACAACAATTCTGAAGTCCACCCTCTTGAACTGTCAAAACACAATGAGACAACAGCTAGTACAGACACTCATGCCAAGATGGAGGGCACCCCTGAGGGCACGTTTGAAGTTAATCCAGCTGTGGAGGTAGCTTCTGGAGATGGTCGACGTGAGAGTAAAGATCATTCCCAATCAGGTCTGCCCATGAGATGTGGCCTTTCCGATACTCCAGGCCATCAGAGCATGGATACAGAGGATGACAAAGCTTACACATTAAATTTGGATGATACCCTTGATTTAAGGGCAGATGCTTTGATCACTTCAACACCAATGACTAACTGCAAAATGTTCAACTTTTACGATGAACAACAAGAGCGCAAAACCATAGGGGCACAGAAAAAACTGTACGGGGACGGTCCCAGTAAGCCAGATGGTCAGGCGCCATCAGACGTTCCATCAAACATCGTCTGTGACCGAAAAACCTTCTTGACGCAAACTGCTGCTAAATCCGTTTTGCCTCCTTTGAAACCGGCATCCCAGTTGTTGAAGTACAAGCCAGCCTCCATACTTCCAGGAAGGTTTGAGCTGCTGACATCAGGCCTGCCCATGACGAGACAAAGAACCCAGGCCGAGGCTTTAAGAAATTCTGATGCATCCCAAGCGGTAGGATTTTGAATGTTTAATGTCTTCTGTGTAATCTGTTGTGTACAACATGTTGGCAGCACATTCTCTTTAATGAAATATATCAAATGAATATTTCATCTGTTAAAACTACTTATAAAAAAAACAAGTGAGACCAGACCACTAAACATAAGCATTGACTCTGTATTGATGACTTCCTTTGTTTTTGTGTGTTTAAAGACTGCAGGAATATCAACCTCCTACAACCTACGTGCTACAACAACAGGTAGGCAGTGTGTATTCTGTTTTTAGAAAGAGCTTGGTAGATTGCAGTTTTGTTCTTCATAAATGTTGAGGGTGAATTATTAAAAATATGGGGTGAGAATCGTAAGCATCCATGCACTCTCTAAGAGCTAATGTTATCATTTGTTTCTTGTTTTATTTTACGTCCCCCCCCCCCATTATTCAGTCATACTTTTAGCTATGAATAATGCCCACTGAATGGGAGGTGTTTGTGTGCACAGTATCCATTATCCACACTGTCCTCCCTCTTTGACATTAGGATCCAAGCAGCCCAATTCTGGCATGCGGAAACCGCAGTTGAGTGGCATCCCGTCAGGCATCCAGAGAGCTGCAGCAGGCCTCAGGCCGCCATCAGCAAGAAGCCACGCACCAGCTTCTTCCAGCACTGACAAACTCCGTGGACCTACAGGTACTCACACAGTGGTCAGACTGTTCTGATATTCAGTCATAAATATAAAAAAGAAATATACATGCATTTGACAGTTAAGAGTTTAAATTGGGTCTCGCTGTACATACAATATTCCTATACAGTTGTAATTTGAGCCCCAACAATAAACAAGTAAACAAACAAAAATCAAAAGGAACATCTAGCAAGACTTTGTGGCTACATCTTTACCTGCCCAACCAATATGTATATTGTTTTATTATTTAGTTTTGTTTCAATTTTGCCATTACTGAGGACTATGTGTTTGTATGAGTGTTTGTGTGAAGTATTGTTTGCTGTCTTGTGTAACATCTTTAATGGTCATTAATTTGAATGTTTTTGTGTGTCTTTTTTTTCTCTCCCTATTTTTATGCAAGCAGCTACTCACCCTGCGACGAAGATTGTGCAAGCAAAGAAGCATCCTTTAACCAGAGGTGAAGCTTTGCCAATAGCTAAGAGGAAAAAAATGGGTAAATACAGATTTGCTGCGAAAGGAACGCTGTATTTATACAGCTATTTTCTTTTGCATTTTTTTGACAGGCATGGTTAGTATTTGCACAAAAACGAACTGACAGCAGTTATTGTGATGGTGTTCAAAAACTGGACTTTTCTGAGCTCACTAAATGTGCATAACTTACTTGCCTCACACTTTTATCTCATCCTTTCAGATGCTCCTTTACCACCTGGTGGTGCTGAAGCTTCAACATCTTCCTGTGATGCAGCAACCCGAGCCAAAAACCTGAAACGTCCCGCAACCAGTCAGAGAGCTTTGCCAGCTAAAACCCCGAGAGATGGTAGGGTGGGATTGCATCATACTGTTCTGTTATGTGGAATAATTAAGCCAAACTGTGGTGTAATTTGTGTTGATGGACTTACTGTGAATTACCTGCTCTTTATCTTTTACGTTTTCAGATGTTGCAGTGCCAGCCAGCACCGCTGAAACATCAGCATCTTGCAGTGCTGTTAGCAGAGTCAGAGCTCTGAAGCAGCCTGTAACCAGCAATAGAGCTCTGCCACCTAAACCCCAAAGCCATGGTAAGTTGAGTGCTGAGGCCATTGGAGGGCTAATTCAATCAAACCTCTGATGTGAGGTGCCTGCTTGAGTATAAATTGTAATATTAAAATAGACCAAAGGGTTCTTGCATTAATGATGACGGCAATGAAAGGTAAGTAAAGTAGGATGTAGAGACCAGTTTGAGAATTTCAGTTCTGGATAATAACTAATGCTAATAAGGAAGCAGGAGTATTATAGGGAAGTTATAAATTAGGCAATCGCACTCACTAATCCATGTCTTGATATAGATCAAATCGAAAGAGAGGATTATTTTACAGGAATGTAATTATTCAAATTATATTGCAGGTTGTGCCAAATGTGTCGCGCTTGAACAGCAACTTGAAATGAAATCGGAGGAAATAAGGAGACTGAAAGAAGGTATGGATTGTTACTGTGCAAATTATTTAGGAAACATGCTGCAATGTTCTGCAATACAGGAAATATCAGTGTTTTTTTTTTTTGTTTGTTTGTTTTGTTTTTTTTACAATCCCTCAGGTGAGTTTTCATTATCTGTTCCGCTCATCAAATAGTTCCCTCAGTATTCACAACAGGTGGGAACAGGAAGGGTCGGTCCCAGCTTGGTTTAAAGTTACATTTCCTGGTATCAGCTGTCAGATTATGTTGTAGCTGGAGTATTAGGTTGTTGCAGAGTGATGAATTGTTATCATTTCTAAACTTTGTTCATTCTTTTTAGGCAAATAGAGTTTTTACTTATTAGGAGTTTTGAAGTTGCCGTTAATGTAATTTTCTTTTCTTTTTTTTCCAGAGCTGCTGAAGTACAGTAAACCAGAGGAAGAATGCTAATATTGATCCTGTTATATTCCCAGTGTGAATACTTAATATAATATCTGCAATCATTCATTTATAAATCTTTTAAGTTACAGTTTAACACTGTAAATATTTTTTAATTCAATAAATGCATTTTAATAATACATATGCTGATATTTAACACAGCTTAACTCCTTTAACTCAGTTGTTTAACACGATGTACTGTATGTTAAGACATTTTTTGGTGTAGTAGCTGGCTTTGGGTTAACAGTTAATATATTATTGAAATCTGCTCTGTTATAAACTGCTCACAGGAAAACTCCACACCCCAAATTGGATATATTATAAAGTGAACCATACATACTTTTAGATGCTTTAAAAGAACATTGAAAGGACACGATGACGCTTCGTAATAAGGCTGAAACCGTACTTTACCCAATGCCGGTGTAAATATTAAAGTATATTAACGAACGATGAAATGAAGACACTGTATGTGTATACACCTTCTTGCTTCTTACTCTGAGATGCTTGATGTGGTCTTTAAAGTATGCATGTATCTGAGATGTTTGAAATAAATATGCTGTGAATTATCTTAAAAGAGTTTGTTGTGCTTTGTATTTTATTATTATCCCAATAATGTCCGGTGAACTTATATTTTCGGCCGCTGGGTGGCGACCTAACCCCTCGCCACAGAGTATGTAGCTCTGCTGTCGGCCATCCTTATGCTTTGTTGATCTACAGCTCACTTCCTTTCCTGACGCAAGTGCCCGGCAAGGCTGTCGCACGCCTTTACTTGTGGCCGCTATACAGCAAAACTGGATTTTATAACCATTCAAAGCAGACAGACAGACAACAGGATAACTTCCACAAGGACGTAGGTGCGTCTGCCTCAATATTTGGTTAAACTGTGGGTGGTTATTTGTCGTTTTGGCGAATTATATTTACCGGCTACACACGCCGTGAGGCCTGGTGCTACGGGCGTTAGCTTAGCAACAACCCCGCGCCACGTTAGTGTTCGCGTTGTTTCATCAGATATAAATAACATGAACGGTATCTTGTTAACGCACAGGCTACTGGGTGTGTTTATTGTGTAAAGACTATACCGTGTGAGACCTGTAGCTGCCCCGTTTAGTGTTGACTAACTTAAATAACTAAGATAACGTTAGCGGTAGTGGCTAAGTGGAGGTTGTCGTTGCACAGCACGTACAGACGTCAATGAAGACATGCTGTACGCTAAATGAAGCTTTAAACAATGTCTCAACTAATTCAAAGTCTCATATTGAGTCAACTTAAGCAAGCAGTAGTTTCTTATAGCAGGTTGTTGCATGGTGACAGTATTAGCTGACGTTTGCTTGAATAAAACGTTTCGTACCACCAACAAACTGTATTGGTATTATATAACAGTAAACATTAACTCTAGCACCGTTTATCAAATTCAGTTTTACATTTTCCAGTTGTGTGTTGGCATTGATACAGCTTAATTGAGAAACCAACTTTAATTGAACAGTGGAAACCTGTTTTTTAGTCTTGCCTTCATGAGAATAACAAATTGATTCAACATCAGTAAATTATTAAAAACTGAGTGTTCATTCACTTTTGATTTATTAATATGAAGTGAAACTGTTTTCCTGCATCGTTTAAATGTTCCCATTCCATGTAGCACAGATGTATACAGATGCTGTAATCTCTTTGTCATTCCTCACATGTGTAATTTTGTCTTTACAGATTGACAGCTTCCTTCAACGATGTCTCGTTTCTTTGCCACCGGGTCTGACAGTGAGTCAGAGGAGTCCTCGTCCGCCGATGAGATCACCCCTAAAGCACCCGGGACAACTTTCAAGCAGTCAGTGCAGCTTACAATATATCCTATCATCAGGGTTCGAACCCCACTTTATGTAGTAATCTCACACATCCATATTGTTTTCACAGGTCGTTGCTTCTTAGTGACGATGAGGAGGACACGAAGAGAGTGGTGCGCAGCGCCAAAGATAAAAGGTTGGTGTGGCCCCTCTTTTTGAAGCAACATATATTTAAAACTGTACACTTTGTCTGTCTTGTTAGTTTTTGGTTTTGAGTGTGTACATTATTAAATCTTAGATTTGAGGAGTTGACCAACCTGATCAAGACTATCCGCAATGCTATGAAGATTCGAGACATGGCCAAATGTTTGGAGGAGTTTGAACAGTTATGTCGAGCCTTCCTCAAAAGCAAAAATATAGTGGACAAAGAGGGTGTTCCACCCTTCTATATCCGTCTTCTGGCCGACCTGGAGGACTACCTGAACCAGGTCAGTTGCCCAAAGTTGAAACACAACTCTATGATTTAGCAGCTTTGTAATTTAACATTGTGTGTTTTGCTTTAGCCGCGGTAAAGGGAAGTACATTAACCTCTGTCAATGCAGTCAGATAGACCCCACTTTTCTGGTTCAGTGGAACTAATTAAGGTTATTTTCTTTTCAGCTTTGGGAGGACAAAGAGGGCAAGAAGAAGATGAACAAAAACAACGCAAAAGCCCTCAGCACGCTACGTCAGAAGATCCGCAAGTACAACAGAGATTACGAAACGGAAATAGCTGCATACAAGGAGGTACATTTTGGTCTTTCTTTGGTCCTGTGCTTTAAAACATACAGACAATATACAGTTTAAGAGATTTTTATAACACTTCTAGATTGAAGTCCGTGGTTGGAGCGTATTTCAATGTGTAACATTGATATTTGTGTGACTGTTAAAGAGGGACAAGCCGCCCATTCTGCATTGCCACCACACAGTGGAACTGCTCACTGGGCTGCAGATCAGACTGTGGCTGTACTGGGCAGCTTCTGTGTGTGAATGTGTGTTACTGTAAAGATAAAGTGTCAACTCAGTGTCATCTGTTTCTGTGTTAGAACCCACAGGAGTCTGCAGATGAAGAGGAGGAGAAGGAGCCAGGGGATTCTGGTAAGCTTGCTGTTTATACACGTTTTTGTGTTAAATCACAAGAACTCAATAAAATGTACAAGAACATAAAACAAGCTCCAAATTGTTCATTCTAACATTAGAGTAGGTGGGTGAAATGTTTTCAATTCCGTTAAAAATTTAGTTTTAACCAGAAAATCGTAAGTAAGAAAGGTTTTACTATTTGCCACATAGCAACTTTTAATTTTACAAACATTTAAACTTTTTTATGCGTCTATTAAAATCACAGGTGACCAATGTTAAGACATAATAACAGTGGTATTGAAGAAGTATCATCTCTAAAATTCATGCTTTTTTTTCTTCTACAAGGCTCTTCTTCTGACAGCGATGCAGAGGGGGGCGAAGATGGAGTGTCAGCTAAATCCTTCTTAAAGAAAAAGCCAGAGCCTTCCTCAGAGGCCAGCAAGTTCCTCAAGTCTGCCAAGGGATCCGGGGTAAGAGGCCAGCGTGCAATATGAGAGTTTACTACAGAGAGAAAAGAAATCTGCTGCAAAAGACCTAATTCTTGTACTCACAAACTACTGTGTGAGGGGATGCCCGAGCTAATGTGCAGGCTTTTTCTCCCTCTGACAGGATGAGTCCTCTTCTAGTGATGATGATGATGACGACGAAGACTGGGGCTCAGACACTGTAGACAGTGGCAGTGAGAGCTCTGATGAAGGGGAGGGAAAGAGCGCTTCCCTGGCTGTGGTCTTCCTCAAGAAGTGAGTCTCCCTCGCTACATCTTAGTTTTAGGTTTACAACTAAAACTATTTTTTATTTTTCTAAAACACGAGAACAAAACATGCCTGTTCTTTGTGAATTTCCTTAAATAATAATTAATTAATAATTATGTACAATTTTGATGATTGAAAATTTAAGAGAATTTAATAGAAATCAATAACTAGATGAACTAATAATTAATATAACGACAAGTTTCAGCCCTAGCAGTCAAAGAAGCTCAAGCATGTATACTTAACACACACTGTGTCTTTCCAAAGGGCCCAGGAGAGCGAGAAGAGTGAAAAGAGGCTTGCTAAGAAGAAGAAGCCCAAGAAGAAAGAGCGGCTGGAGGAGGAGGGTGAGGAGGAGGGCGGAGAGGAGGTTGAAGGAGGCTGGGAGAAGGTGAAGGGAGGCGCCCCTATGGTCAAGGTAAAGACAACATTCTGATAAAAAGCCTGTTTAGATGTACTGCATTAAGATAAAACAAAAGATGGTACACCCATTTATATTTGGAGCTTGTAAAGTACCGATTGTATTAAAAGAAACAACCAAATAATGTGAATCAACAAGTGATATCAATATTTGTTATGTCATGTGATGTTTTCCAATAATCAGGAAAAGCCTAAGATGTTTGCCAAAGGCACAGAGATCAACGTACCAGTGGTGGTGAAGAAGCTCAATGAGATCCTACAAGCAAGAGGCAAAAAGGGCACAGACAGGTATCACCCCATAATACATTCCCATACGTTCCCTCCCCTGTTTCATTATGTATTGTATAGTATTTTCAAAGACAGTCATTGTTGTTTCTCTGACCTCATCCCACTCTCCGTCCGACAGGGCTGCTCAGATCGAACTTCTCCATGCGCTGGCGAACATCGCTGCCGAGAACAACTTGGGCCAAGGTATCATGGTCAAGATCAAGTTCAACATCATTGCCTCCCTGTATGACTACAACCCTAACTTGGCAGCCTTCATGAAGGTAGGAACCATGGTTTTTCTAAATGTTACAATTGCTTTTAAATTCAGGGTTAGTTCCTGGAAAGTTAGATTTTTCGATTAAATGCAGCAAAATATGTTCTACTTTCCATTTAGCCGGATATGTGGAAGAAGTGTCTGGACTGTATAGATGAGCTGCTGGACATCCTCTTTGAACACAACAACATCTTCATCGGGGAGAACATTGCAGAGGACAGTGAGAATCTGATCATCTCAGACCAGGTATCCCATTTTCTGTTTTCTGCTTTTGCTGGTTGCTGTGAAGACCAAAACTGAATCACTGTAACTGTGTCTTTGTATCTGTATTTTTATGATGTTTATATTATTTGGTTTGTCTGCCTTATTCTCATTTATAGCTTACATGGAAAACGTTTACCTTCTGCACAAAATTCATAATAATTTGTGGTTGTGTCTTGTTAGAAGATGGCATTGCAATAAAATCTGTGTTTGTCAGCCATTCAGGGTGCGTGGATGCATCTTAACACTGGTAGAGAGGATGGATGAAGAGTTTACCAAAATCATGCAGAACACCGATCCCCACTCACAAGGTGAGAATTATTTTTAATGATGAGTTTTATCATTTTAGATGTAAAAGTAAATCATAGAATATTGGAAAATGAATGTTGGTGCAAGAATCTTTGAAGTGTGTTTGTGCATCATTTCCATCTTTTCCTGGTAACTCATAGCTTTCTTGTCTACCTCCAGAATATGTTGACAATCTGAAAGACGAGGGACGAGTGTGTGGCATCATTGACCGGCTGCTCAACTACATGGAGACCAAGGGCAGCACAGAGGAGATTTGCCGCATATACCTGCGCAGAATCATGCACACCTACTACAAGTTTGACTACAAGGCCCACCGACGCAGCCTGGGCCTCCAGGCAGAGTCCAAGGTGAGAAAAGCACAGAAGTGGAATATTCCATCATCAACAGATCTTCAGTATGAAAAAAACTAAATCTTTAAAAAACTACAAATTATATTGACTTAAATCAAGAAAAGGGCAGAATAAAAAGTGGAAGCGTATCTGGATTTGAGTGCTTTTACATGATTTTTGTTACTTAGTGGGTGTGATGTGCTGAGTCTTGTGTCTGATGTTTAGTCCGAGCAGGACCAGGAGGAGAGCGAAGGGGAGGACAGCGCTGTGATCATGGACCGGCTTTGCAAGTTCATCTACGCCAAGGATCGCACCGACCGTATCCGTACCTGCGCTATCCTCTGCCACATCTACCACCACGCTCTGCACTCACGCTGGTACCAGGCCCGTGACCTGATGCTGATGAGCCACCTGCAGGACAACATCCAGCACGCCGACCCGCCCGTACAGGTAGGCAGGCAGACAGACACAAAGCTACACAAGAGAACAGCAACAACAAACCCCAAATTGATACCAATGACCTATTTTTTTCTCTCTTGTCTAGATCCTGTACAACAGAACCATGGTGCAACTTGGGATTTGCGCATTTAGGCAGGGAATGATTAAAGATGCCCACAATGCCCTGCTGGACATCCAGTCCTCTGGCCGCGCCAAGGAGCTCCTGGGTCAGGGTCTGCTCATGAGGAACATGCAGGAGAGGAATGCAGAGCAGGAGAAGATTGAAAAGAGAAGACAAGTAAGTCGTACACAAGTATTGTGATGTACACAGGAGCACTTTTGGGCAGAATGACTGAATTTCAACCATGCTGGTATCATGGCTCTGGAGGGGGGGAATATCTTAACAACTACTGGCATGAAATTTAGTACAGACATTAATGGTCCCCAGAGGATGAACCCTGCTGACTGATCCCTGACCTTCCTCTAGCACCACGTTGAGGTTGACATTGCTTCACACTTTCTTGTCCCCCTCACAATCAACTGTGATAACTTGACTCAAAGCATCCCAGTGCTCAGGTACAGCCTCAGAGCCGTTAGCGTGGCTGTGGACTCTTAGTCTTGTTTAGTTGTTTTTGTAATGCAATAGTGAGAAAGGCCCCAATTGCCTCAGGTAACAGAAATAGTAAGATTGCTACTAGCTGCAAACTTACTTAACTTAACTGAATACTTCAAGAACTTGATGTCAGGTTGCACAAAATCCTAACATTGCTTTAACCTCCCTCACAGGTGCCATTCCACATGCACATCAACCTGGAGCTTCTAGAGTGTGTGTACCTGGTGTCTGCCATGCTGCTGGAAATCCCCTACATGGCTGCCCATGAGTTTGATGCCCGCCGCAGGATGATCAGCAAGCAGTTCCACCATCAGCTCAGAGTGGGAGAGAGACAGCCATTGCTGGGTACGCAACCTGTCACTTAAGTCTTTACACCAGCAAGTTTAATCCAGAGAGGATAACTGTAGCTTTCTGTTTGTCCTCCAGGACCCCCAGAGAGCATGAGGGAGCACGTGGTGGCAGCCAGCAAGGCCATGAAGATGGGAGACTGGCGTACCTGCCACTCATTCATCATCAATGAGAAGATGAACAGTAAGGTCTGGGATCTGTTTCCTGAGACGCAGCGAGTGCGCGAGATGCTTGTCAGGTTAGCATACACCATTATCATCCATCAGTGAATTTATTTTCAAATAGTTTTACAAGTTGTGTCTTAATGATGTGCGGAATTAAAACTTTTCATACACTAGTGAACATTTTTCAGATTATTTCACATTTCAATTTAATGTGGCAGTTATTAACATATATTAATTCATCGTGTTGCCTTACATAATGCCTTATATCATTTTAATTTTCTTTTTTATAGGAAAATCCAAGAGGAGTCACTGAGGACTTACCTGTTCACGTATAGCAGTGTTTACGACTCCATCAGGTAAGCACAACATGCAGCATTTTTAAACAGACCTAGTGCCAGTCACTACTCGAGCACTGCTTTGTGTAGACCGCTGTGTATCCGCTTGGACCAGAAACGGCTCTAATCAGGCGCTCTGCCTACTGGTGTTAATGCAAATCACAAAAGATCACGAAAAGCTTAACCTAAATTTTACTGAGGGAAAATATGGTTGTTAAAGTTTTTGTGTCTGTCCTCCAGCATGGGGACACTATCTGAGATGTTTGAGTTGGAGATACCCACAGTTCACAGCATCATCAGCAAGATGATCATCAACGAGGAGCTGATGGTAAGTTTCTCTGTTCTGTTGGACTAAATTTGAATGATGAATTATGTTGTATCTTTACATGTACACGGTTTTTTTTTTTGTTTGTTTGTGTTTTAAATGTTTTCCGTCCCGTTGCCAACAGGCATCACTCGACCAGCCCACACAGACCGTGGTGATGCACCGCACAGAGCCCACCTCCCTGCAGAACATGGCCCTGCAGCTCGCTGAGAAACTGGGCAGCTTGGTGGAGAATAATGAGCGTGTCTTTGACCTCAAACAGGGCGTCTATGGAGGCTACTTCAACAGAGGTAAACAATACTTTACTGTATGCCATCAATACGTATATGTTGGCATGTTCACATCCAGCCTGTGTGTCAGTGACCACGAGTCACGTTATTCTTTTCCTGTATCTTTTACAATCTCGAAAAAATCTCATCATTGTGCCCCCTTTGCTATTAAAGGTTGAATACTGCTTTCTAAGAAAAGCAATAATAAGTGGTTGTTTCTTTGCATTACAGATCAGAAAGGTGGCTACCAACAGAAGCAATCCTACAATAGAGGTATGTTTAACCACACTGTGGTTGCACTTTGAATACAAAAAAAGCAGTTAGTCCTACCACATGGTGACCTTCCCACACCAACATACCTCTGATCTTGTGCAGAGGCTGTTCACTGTTTATTCATTGCTGCCTTTAACTATGTTGCTGACTTAGTGTGTTTGAGTTTCAATCAGTAATTAAAGCTACAAGCAGCGATGAACGGGCCTTCGCACTCCACGCAACTCGGGGTGTGCTGCAGCCGCGTCACGTGCAAGTGTAACATGTGCAGACCGCAACATGAATATTTGGCACTTAGATGGGTCTAGGCCAGGGCTCTTAACAAACGTGAAGTTTGGGTACAAATGGAGAATCTGTACTGCAGTAGGGTTAGCAGTAGGGTTAGGGTTTCCATTGTCATGTCAAGGCTGATTTACTGATATAAAGATTTTAATAACGTAACATCCTGAATGTTTCTGCACTGTATTACCAATTTGAAGTTATTCTGATCAGTTCACTAGGAGGAGTTAGTTAAAATAGAAGCCCTGAAATTGCCGGAAATGGCATCACAGTTTGACATTCGATTCAACCTGGCCAACTTTGACGGCACGCCACGGACACGCCCTTCAACATACAGTCACAAATGGCACAACTTTTAATCAGCAATGTTTTTTGACTGTACTGACCAATTTTGAAGCAGATCCGATAAATTCTCTAGGAGGAGTTCTGAAAATCACTATGAAATTCAACGTGGCTGAATTTCACCACTAGGTGGTGCTCTCACTATCCGTGAATATTATCACGCAGATGTGTTCAGGGCGGGACCAGACCAGTGAAGTTTGGAGCCGATTAGACAATGTACACTCAAGTTATAGCAAATTTGTGTGTTCTGGCGGTACATCAAAATTTATTGCCACGCCACGGACACGACCTTTAGCAAAAACTCACCACAATCATAAAAATTTAATAAACAACATGTTTTGCATTTCCTGACTAAATTTCAGCTGGATCTGATCAACCTGCTAGAAGTAGAACATGGAAGTATAAAAAATGACATTTCCTTTCACCACTAGGTGGCGCTCTCACTATTACTGAATATTATCACATAGACGTGTTCGGGGTGGGACTCGTATCAAC